GGAATGAGAAGCTAGTTCCCTTTCTATCCTTTCATCATGGAGCCACAAGATGCAAGCAGTGATTAGGCTTTTAAAAACTTCTGGCATGGCACAAATAGAATTTTTCTTTATTGGAAAAAGAATGCCTTGCAGGGCTGGAATAGTGCATTCTGTACTGTAACCTCAGAGGGAGATGTATCTCAAAAATGTCCTGGCATGGTGTTTGAGAAGAAAACACTGTGCAGAAGAGAGTGTTTTGAGTTGAATTAATTTATGGGTAAGGGGCAGTCACTTACTTCATCCAACAAAAGCAAACAACTCTCCCTCCCTAGGGGCTGAATCTTCTTTGCTTATCCAGTATTAATCCTGAGTATTATGCCTCAGTTTGTAGACTCACACTATGTCAAGCAGTGCTTATAAGAAATTGTTAGGTTCCATAACTCCTTTCATATGAATTTAGAATATAATAAATGTGACTGAAATGATATGAGGAAGGGAATGGTCTGGAGACTCCATGAGTTGGCTTAGACCTTCTGTTCTTGATGGAGATACGATATTAATGATATTTTTGCCTACATTCTGCAGAGATGATCTGTGCAATAATTTATACACAGTATATCTCACTGTGAGCTTTATGGAGAGGATACTGGGGACATGGTTGACTGAAAATGGTCACTTGTCACTGTATAGCTAAGTCCATATTACAGTGTGCTTCTTTGGATGGTTTGAAATCTCTCTTCAGGTACTGACCTGCATTTCAATTTGCTTTCAGATTTCAGGAAGGAATATTGTAAATGAAGACATTCCCAAGCTGCTGGCTGGACCAGAAGCTTCAATCAAAGATAGATAAATGGAAGAGAGATGCCTTTTCTTAATTTCGTGTCCCTCCATTTACCATAGATTTTTTCACGTAGACTTTCTCCCCACTAAGCACAAGGGTATTTGCAAATGCTTCTTGAAAGAGTTAGACCGTCTGTCTTGTGTGCACTTATGATGGGTTTGGGTTGCCTTTTCTTCTTCTGTTCTCCCAGTCCTCCATTCCCTTTTTCTTTCTTGATATTATTGTTGGTTTTATGCATCAATGATTTTTATGAGCTGAATCAGCAGACCTTTTGCTTTGATGTTACTGCTTTAAATAAACCAACCTGCATCACTAATCTTGAGCCATCATTATATCAGGCATTTTTCCATGTAGTGTATTCACCAGAAAAAAAATAGCAAAGCCTGATTGTGATCTCTCATAGGCTGGCATAAATCAGGAGGAGCAGTATGGTCACATAGCACTTTACATATTCCGGGTGAAGTACAAAGAGTACACCCCTTCACAAATGACAATGTAAATACCTCATTTTATGAATGGGGAAATGTCAATATCCTCATTTTACAGGGGAAAGGGAGGCACACAAATGACCAAGAGTAGGGTTGGGATCAGCTCCAAAGAGCTCTGGAAGCCTAACTCTGTATTTCTCACTCTAAGCTTGCTTGTTGATTTGTTTTTGTTTCAGTGCAGACCAAATCAAATTTGGCATGAGCAGACACTTTCAGCTGAAGTTGATGGAGTTACAGTGCTGTAATACCAGTCTCAGTTAGATCAGAACCAGAAATACTATGGAGAGGGCTAAACTCCTGTGTGGAATCTGGAATGTGATTTTCCTGCAGTCCGCGGGTGGATTCAGGCCACACAGAGCTTGTGTGCACATCAAAACAAAGGTATGATTACAGCACAGGTAGACAGATTGTTAAAAGGAATAGCTTCTCATGAGCAGACCATGAGGAACAAGAGTAACAACACACTCCACTAAATAGCCTGTCAGGAATTTTCATGGGCCAGGGTCTCAGAAGAGGAGTCGAAGAGGGAGATGAGTCCATTCTTGTGGATTTTGGCATTGTTTTGGGGAGCGGATATGGGGAGCGGATACCTGAGATAGTGGGGCTGTGGGCTGAAGGGGAGTTCTACATATGAACAGTGTGTCAGGTGGGGGTATCCAAAAATTGGAAGTCAGTAATTCAGTGTTTTAATCCAAGGAAGTTAAAGCATCAGGAAAGCCAGAGAATATTAACAGTTCTACACAGCTCCTCTGACTACTTGGGATATTCTGTAGCACCGTTCCCAAACCAGGCACACCTGTGGTCCTTGGGGCACAGACAAAAAGGTCTTCCTACTGTTGTGAGCATGATGACAGTGGCTTGTGTTCTTGTTTTGTAAGGGTGAAGGTGGCCAGGGATTGCCAGCCTGCTCTTTGGTGGTCTGAAGAGAATGGCAAAGGGAGGGATTGCGCATGGGCTTGGTGACTGAATGGAACTGGGGTAGGGTCTGCAGGATGTTGTGGGTGGTGGAAGTGTGAAGAGGAGCTTGTGTGGAACTACTGTGAGGGTGAGGGAGGATGTGAGGGTGATGGTGTGGTTTCAGTCTTGAAGTAGTACTCTGCTTGCAACTGGTATCTCAGCCTGGATTTCTTCTGGGGATGAGAATTCTGAGGTCTTTGCAAGTGATGAAGTAGCTGTGGTCCAAGGAAAGCATCTCAGTCTACCAGCTAAACAATTGGGAATGTGACCTGCTGCCTAGTATACTATGTGTCTTGGCTGTTGTTTTAGCCACCCTCACCACTAACTCGGCAACATGTCAGTGCCATCTAATAGGGGCACAAGTTTGGTCAAACCGGAAAGATATGTTGTCATGGCTGGGTGAAGCTGCCCACTGCAGGAGCACATGTACTGTAAGGGTGATGTTTTGAGAGCTATCCAATGCTATGGGCTTCTCTAGTGTAGAAATCAATGTCAAGTCCCATACCTGCCCCTTTCTTTCCATCCCTACCAACTTGGGTGTCTTGTCTGACTGATGACAATGTTCTTGGACATCTAAATCCCATTTCAGACCCCCTTTCTCTCTTCCCACAAACACCACTGATCTCTGCTGTTGTGTGACAGGGCTCAGTAAGACTCTTAGCAACTCAGAGGTATAATACGGTGGGTGTGATGGTTGCTGAGTTGCAGCTACTTACACTGAAGCTGAGCTCAGCTCCCTAGCTCTGCCAAAAGTGTGGTGGGTAAGGCCTCCTGTGTACCAGAAGGAACTGTATTGTCTATTCAGAAGCTAGGACATCAGTACTTCAATGCACACTTTTTATAGGAATGGAAAATGGACCATGTCAATTTTTATAGGTATTAATACTTCTCTGTTAGTGAGGACTATGTTAAAGAAGAAATATATTGGGGACCATTATTTTTAATGCCTTCAAATATCAAAAATATTAATAATAGAGTGTAACAGTAGAGGTGGAGGTGAGCCTTCCTAAACTACAGCTGGGCAGATCCTTATCTTTTAGTTTGCTTAGCTCTTCCATTGCTCTCTGGACAGTTTTTGTGATTTGCGATTAACTGCCTTTATCTTCACTTAAGATTCACCCTTACAAAAGTGCTCAGACTGGACAGACCCATGACTAGTGGAGAGGAGGGCCTGGGGTTGGGCCCAGGTCCCTGTTTGCCTGCCCTTCCCCCAAAGTAGACAGCCATTCTTAGGCTGCCTTTGGCTTTTTTTTCCTGCAGGTGCATAAGGCTGCACTGGTTATTCCATCAGGGTGGCACAGTCTCAAGTAATTGTCATTAATGTCTTTCTCCCTCCCTTTCATGTCTGTGAGTCGAAGGTTGGAGATCTTTACTTGCCAGTTCAAATTGCTTAGCACAGCTCATATAGACACCAGCTCAAAGTGGGGTTACTCATAAACTCCACAGGCATTTAAATATTTTATTTGACTTCTAGGCTGCAAAATAGCTTAAGGGAAAAAAATTTAATATGTTCTCTGAAACAAGCACTAGGAAGAGCTTTATGAGTTCCTTATCCTTGCTTTGATCACCAGTTTGAATTTGGTAATGGTCAGACACGCCAGTATAACCCTAGACTGATCAAGATGGGAGTCCAAGTTGAGATTATGGCCTTTTTTTCTTCAGGAGAGGCATATGTTGCATGATTGGACTGATGATCAGAACAGTGTTTTTCAAAAGCAGCCTGCCACATCAGTATGTAAGTTAGTATGTTGAAATTCTGGCTGAAAGAGATCCAGGCAAGGCTGCTGGATTACCAGTTGTGTTTTCAAACTGTTGAAAAAAGAGAGAAAGAAAACTGAACGCTAAACTGAAGAGTTTTGTTTGTTTATTTCTTGATACAGAGGAATTCTCCAAGGCTATTTGCCCTTAAATACTGGTGAGAAGCCATTTAGGTCCTTATATATGCACTTTGTATTCTGTCAGTCTTTGACATTGGCATGAAGTCCATGTAGCTGATCTTGCACGTGAAAATTAGAAGGCTCGATTTGCAATTAACCACTAGGCTAGGGGCAGGAACACTGTTTTCTGTTCCCACTCTGCCATAGACTCAGTGCAATTCTAGACAGGTTGGTTTTCTCTCTCTTTCTCTCATCTCAGCCTTTCTTTCCCAAATATGGGACAGTAACTTGCCTCTCATGGAGAAACATTTTTTTAATGTGTGTAGCACTTTGGTAAGTGTGCTTTGCCTGAGTTATTCGAAGTAGTGTTCTCACTGTACTAATGGAATGCTGCATCTTGATAGACTTCTTTACCTGTCACTTTGCAGGCTCTTGGCAGGCTTTGCCTCATTATAGTCTCCTTGGTTTCCTGAAATGCATTTTATGTTCAGTTAGTTAAAATAATAATAACCCCTAATATTTTTATACCAGTTATTTCTCAGTGAGTACTCTAGCTCAGTGAGGGCAGAGAAATGAAAGTCTCTTTTAGGGTAATGTATGGAATGTAAGCCCTTGTTGTGGAACAAGGAAAGGGTGTGTGGCAGTGACCTTAAAAGGGGTTAAAACTGATCTAAAGCCCCCTCTTTTCAGCTCTGTGCACACTCTGCTTCCTCTCAAGACTGAGAGGAGGACTTACTCCATAAAACTTGTTTATTTTCTTTGTTGTAACAGAACTAATTTTCATTATTATTGTTACTTAACTTTTACCATTTATCATTGTTGTGTAACTCTCCTAGCATTTAAGAAATAAAGGAGAATATAATGGAGTTTCAAGTTAAGGTTGATTTTATTTCTTGCTCTTTGGAGATGCTATCTAAGCTATTAGCCAGCATTAGCTAATTCTTCCCAATAGCTGTGCAGTGTGTTTCATCTCGGAGCATCCTAAAGTGCTTGACAAAGTGCAGATTGAATGCAATAAGTTATTCCAGTGATTTCAGTATGGTTTCCACATGGGACATCATCATTTGACTTGGTCATGGGGCCCACAGACAAATTTTAGCTCTCCAAAAGTGTTGTATAATGAACAGATCTGCGGCTGTAGATGGAGTTCAAACCATCTATCAGAGATGAAGGCTGGCAGCTCCTTCATAGTACATAATTCTGCAGGTCCAGAAGGGAAGATGACATATCCTGCTGGAATAGTTAACTGCACAGTTTTATACTTCGCTCCCAGCCCAAATTCCTCTTTTCCTTGCAGAACTAACACCTTTCAAAGTTCCTGCTGCACATTCTGCTCTTGGAGGGCTTCCACCCACTGAGTAGTATCCCAGCTGGTGTGACAGAGTTCTTCCAGGGACACTGATGGAAACAGCTTGTATTGCTCTTTGGATGGACAGTGCAGGGTGCAGGTGCAAGAATTTGAAGGATCAAAGCAGAATATGAAACTAGAAAGTGGCAAAGAAGTGCATTTAGCAAACTAAGATTATTGACCAGCTTGTCTAGCTCTGGTGAAAGTATTATCTTCTCTCTTACCTGATTGGAAATCATACTACAGCCAGTCTCCTGCCATTTCATACCACCTCTTCACTAGGGTGAATGGTCCTGTGATGGCTGCTTGTGCTCTCTCAGATAACCAGAGGGAAGAAAAAACAAACAGGTTAAAAGGGTTGGGAGATGAAGACAGTGAGAAGTGGATGGGGAGTAGTTCCTTCTCATTGGGCTCTGCTGTTGCTGAGAATGAATGATGAATTCTTGAGCAGGTGGAACCAGGGGCCATGTACAATAAAGATCTCATCCCAAGTACCCTTTCTGGTACTGTTGTGAGACTTCACTGGTCAGTTGCTGCTATAACCTGTAAGTGAGATTCTTCATGGTGAGAAGAAGCCAAATGAGCACTACTGAAAAAAAGATGCTTTGGGCAAAGTGAGATCATCCTGGAGCTGGTGCCAGTC